TGCTTAACTTTTTTCCAGGTGTATAATTTGTAATCATTCTAGAATGAAAAAGGCATAACTTATATTTGTTTCCTAATTTTTGTGGTGGTTGTGAGATCGATCAAATCTACCGATCCCGTACAGAGATTAATTACTGAAAATAACAGATAAAATATAAAGTTTTTTCTTAAGAAACATTTGATAACTATCTGGATGTTATAACGATTTTACATGTGAAATTTGAAAATTTTCTGATGCATAAAAGCATTTTTAATCTTAAAATGAAAATTACTTTGCATGATAGATAGCCAACATGTGAAAAGAAAAAAAAAAGGCTTGAGAAAAACATTGCTTTACAAACCTTAAGACTTAATAAAAAAAAATTTATATTTTGCGTATGAAAGCACTGTGATGTTTACTGATAATCTGCCAAATGTTGTTAACATATGCTTACTAATTTAAAAGTTATAGCATAAAAACTATAACAAACACAAAATGGCTATGAGGCTGGTCCCAGGGACCGAGCCTGTGCTTTAAGAGTTAAATGTTTTTTTTTAAATATTTGTTTAACATCAAGACTGGTTAAGTTGTGAATCATGAAGTAGTACTGGTAGTTTTCTTATGTGATTTCTGTTATTAATACATTCAATTGATGTAGATGTTTCAGAATTGTCAACAAGGCTTTAATAGGAGAAACAACAGTTTGTTCTTCAGAGTTAGATATCTTTCACCCGAAACTGACATTTCATCAGGTCGCTATAGTTTTATGTACTTTGTTTGTGGGTATTGCATCTAATGTATCTTGTTTATTTATTGAGACTCTATCAGACTCTTCATGCTGTTTTATTTCACAAAATTAATGTAAGACAGGAGTGTCACATCATGTACTTCTGTTTTTATAAGGCACAGGAAGTATAGTGCATATGAGAGAAAGGGTAAGATTTAGTTGCCTGCAAGTAGAACTGTCTCTTGTCAGTGATGTGAATCAAAAATAACTGGCAAATGTCTAAGAGTTATGAGATAAAAATTTGCTCTTGTTAGCAAACTCTTGAATGAGCATCAGTTGCTCATGTTACCCAAGTAAATAACAAGAAACCTGGCAAACAAAAAATAGGTGTAGTCACCTGGTGATTTTTGAAGTTTCTGCATACAAGAACCATTCTTATAATTGTTTTTACATTATTTAAATCTCTTATTAGTGTTGTGCAATTATTTAGATCTCAATGGTTTACATCTTTCTAAAAATGATATTAAGAAGAAAACCTTTTTCTTTAGACACAAGGCCTTGGCACTGCCATGAAGATTCTCTTTTCAGGAGACCAGGACTCTGACCTTCACATGTCAGATGTCAAAAAAGAGAAATTCCAGCTGACAAGAATTGAGATAGTCTCACTTTTCAATGCATTTGGAAGGTATGTCTACTTATACACAGAACTGAAGTTTGATGTAAAGTAGAAACTTTGAACCTTGGGCACATATATGAAGGTACCTGTGTGTGAAAGCACATTATACTAATACAATAGGAAATTGACCAACAAGAGTTTATAACACTGACGAAATTTTATGTAGAGAACATACCACGTGTTTCAATAGACCAATCTTCTATTGAAATGTCTGTTCTATACATAAAATACATTATGCTTATAAATCATTGTTGGTCAATTTACTAGAGTATATGCAAGATATACATTCATATCAAACACTCTTATCAGCCTGTTAGTCATTTACAGTTTCTTTAATGTTTCAAAAAGTATTCTTTTAAAATAGTTAAAAATGTACAACTTAGGGTGTTTGACCCTTTTGTATTGAGACTATGGTGAGTTGAGAAAAATGTTACAAATTCTAATGGACTTTTTTCCTTTTTTGTAATTTTACAATTACAAACATTTAAACATTGAACTACTATATTATTATTATAGGCAAACCTTTTAATAACATAAAAAACTTGGAATTGATTTAGTGAATTTAGGACTTAACTATCTTGTGTAATTTGATACAGAATAGGTAACTCCTGTATAAAAGGGCCTGGCATGGCCAGGTGGTTAGAGAGCTTGACTCGCAATCTGCGGGTCGTGGGTTCAAACATGCCTGCCCTTTCAGCTTTGGGGGCATTATAATGTGATGATCAATCCCACCATTTGTTGGTGAAAGAGTAGCCCAGTGGGTAGTGATGACTAGTTGCCTTCCCTCTAGTCTTTCACTGCTAAATTAGGGATGGCTAGCACAGATAGCCCTTATGTAGCTTTGCATAATATTCAAAACAAACCCATATATAAGTTTCTTTTTCTTTTCTTTTTTTTTACAGATTATCTAACAGTGTATATCAGCTAGAAAATTTCAGGAAGATGATGAAAGAATTATGACCCTTTTCCATGACAGACTTGCTATTATATATGTATTGTTATTGATGGTTTCTTCTTGCATCATCTGATTCCTTCCCATCATATCTTGTGATACTCTGATGGACCAACTACCCATGTTTAAGTTTTAGTTTCCTGTTACCAGTCACCATCGTGAGAAGTCTTCACAGTCCACTGTGCAGATTGTAGAGCCATGAGTTTTACAATGGGCTAAAGGTCTAGATTTCTGTAAAAAGTCTACCTGTAAATCATTATGTACTGAGTAAGGGAATACATCAAAATCATTCCTCTTTTTTTCTTTTTCTTACTCATATCAGTCGTATTCTTCATAACTTTTTCAAATGAGCATATCAACTGTCTCACAAGCCAGTTTAGAAGTAAAGCAGAACTCAAATTCAGTGATTCTTTTAGGAAACAGCTTTCACATATATATTTAGAAATTTTGACTTGAGCACTCAGATTTACAAATGTTTGGTTACTTTATTTAAACTCATATGATAATTTTATCACAAGTAGGGCACTTTTTTTCATCAGAACTAAAAACTTAACATACTTTTTTTTCCAAGTGATAACTGTAAATATATATAATTTAAGTTATTGCAAAAAATATCAATGAAAATTAATAATTATTTCAATTATTATATGTGGCATTAAATACATATATATATATATATATATATATATATATACATAAAGCGAAAAAAAAACCTTTAGTCAGTTGTCTCATCTTGAGACCTGTTAAGTAGTGATTATTATTATTGTATGCTTAAAGATGATAGGTTGGTCAGTTGTTGTATCCAGGGGCGTGGCTTCAATAGTGCACCATTGACTTTAAGAACCATGTGCTGTGCATGACCATTATTCTTATGTTTGTTCCCAAAATTGTTCCACATTGCTTGAATGTTGTGTTAGAATATTTCCACTTCTCCAGTAAACCTGTTGCAATTATGGAACTTCTCCTTATGTTACTCTTAGACGTGCATGTGTTTCTCGGAACTGTCATTAGCTGAGGTAGAAGTTTAGCTACAGTTTTGGCAGATGATAAAGCTTCTTATCACTGTTCAACATGTTATTGTTAAGGTGGTGACACAGTAAGCAGCCAGAACAAGCCACAAGTTAGGGATAAATTTAAATTTTTATGTTTTATATAACATATTGTCAAAATGTTAAGTTTGGTTATGAACAGCTTTTTACATTTCAGGGTATTCTACATTCAGGACAATACACACAAATTTTGTGGCATTTGATTTTTATTTACCAGCATTAATCAGCAAATCATATCTATAAGGTGTAGAACTAACATGAGCTAAAACAAGTTTTGGATATTTTTCAGTAAGGGTAAAATATATTTTTTTAAGATATAGAGGTTTACTCTTTTATCAAAATTGTTTTATCTCTAGTTTTTGTTTTGGCCTATAGTATTTTCTTGAACGACTTAGATTCACACAGCACATTACTTTAAGTAAACATTTTAGTTTCATCAGGTTTCACCATAAAACACTCCATCTTCTAGGGGTTAAGTGGTTCCTGCTTATTTTTTCCCCATCGTGGGTGCAACTAATTTTGTGTTATACAACCAACTTAAGTAGTCACCCTACACCCCTAGTTGTATATGCTTCCAAAGTCCTTGATTATTTACACATACTTCCAATTCTTCTTTGAATTCACCTAAGTTATAAGAACTTTGTCCTTTCCTAGTTCATTATAAATTAAGAAAAAAATACCATACTAGTTGCAACAGTGCTTAATATGTAAGAACTTGAAGAGACTGTAATAAGGACTCAACATGTTTGAGCTTTGACTGTAAAATCAAGAAGTTCTACAGATTTCAGTGTTAGGGAAAGTTAATAATACGTTAAGGATAATAAAGGCCACGTCTATACAAATTATTTAAAAAATATATAATTTTGGTTTTGGAATTTCTGATAATAAATAATTAGATTGGGCATTTAGTATCTTTAAATACTAACAAGTAATATTTAACTATAAATCAAAGGGAGAAGTTTTCAGAATAATTGTGGGACTATTTCAGTATGTTTTCTGTTATTTTACTTTGTTTTAACTATATTTAGTTGGCATTTCTAAAAAACGTTTACTTATACAAATTAAAAGGAACACCATAAATTATTGAATTTAGAAATTTTGACTGGAGCACTCAGATTTACAAATGTTTGGGAGTTTATTTAAACTCATTTATTGGTAATTTTGTCCCAGTGCATAGAGCACTCTTTTTTTTTATACATCAGAACTAAAAACTTAACATACCTTATTTTTAAAAGTAATAACTGTAAATATATAATTTAAGTTATTGAAGAAACATCTATGAAAATTATTAATTTTTACAGTTATTATCTGTGGCATTACATTTTATACTTGGGTTTCATTTGTGTCAGTGTTGGTTTTGATATCTTAATTAGTTTGGTATGTTATTTTATGGTTTTGTTAGGTTCTTTACAGGTGGTTGAGTAAAAGTTGACTAAGTTTTAACACTAGAACTGTGAGACAAATGAAAGATACTTACATTTTAAAAGTGAAAACTATCAAATTGATGAATTTGGTGGTTCTTGTGTTAAAAGGCTGTTCTGATATCATACATATATTTTTTAAAATAAAGCTTTTTTGACCAGATTAAATTTTGTTTATAAAATTGATCTGAAAATTGTAACTAAATCCAGTACATTTTTCGAACAGCACTGATTGTTTTGTAAACAAACTACATTTAGCTGTGGTTGGATTAGAAACAACCTTGTTTAATTTTGGAGATATTATGAGATCTGTTATAAAAGCTGAGCTAAAAGTTGAATCTTGCATGCACACACAGAATTATATATAAATAAATTAGAAAAAACTTTGAAAAACTAATCAAATATAATGCTGTGTTTCATTGTAAAGTTTGATGTCATTAAAGGAAGAATATCTTAATGTTTTAATTCTCTTTGATCATAGGATGTTAGAAATAGTCCATAGTTATTTGAAAACACTTTGGAATGAATAAGTTTTCAGTTCTCAACAGGGAGTGCTTGGAATGGTTCCTAAAGTTCAGGATCTTCCAGAAGTAATGTAATTGCAGGTTTGTAGTAGTGCTGAATTGAATAAAGGAGGTGATGGAAAACTGAAAATAATTAGAGAATTAAATTGCTCTTCTTGAAAATTATAATGGAAAATTTTAATTGGTTGAAATTACTGGTTTTGCAGTCTTTATAAGAACACAATAACCAATAACATCAGCCGATTCAGAAAACATTTTGAAAAGTTGTGTTGCCTTTGTATTCATGATGGTATTTCAGTTTTACAAAACTTGTATACAACCTTTTATTGGGTAATATTGAGTGAAACATGATATATTCACCACAAAGAAAGATTATTTTATTATAAAATTATTTACAAACACCTTAGGAACATTTCTCAAGTAAATAATGTTTTATTTTAATGAAAGAGGTTTAAGTCAGTTAAATTTTGTTTGTTTTAATATTTACTAGAAAGTTTGAAGTATTTAAGTTATTCTATATTTAAAGTTTAATGTTTACAGACACATATTATATTCCATTCAGAATGTCCTACAATAATATATCCTTAACCAACAGGCTTATTTCTGGTTTGAGAAGGTGTGTTTGCTTGAAATGTTGCCAAGAAAATCAAAAATCAAATTAAAGGTTCTTAAAATGATTTATCTCCAAAAGCCAAATTTCTTTCTCTTTTTTTTTACTTTTCATATGTATAAAAAAAACTAAGTATGTGCAAACAAACCTAGTACCTTTTGTTAAACTCTTGTTATAAGTAATCTCCAGATAAAATTACTTCCCAAAATATGCATGTTAGTGAACTATTAAGTTTGAATTTCTGTTTCTTATTTTGTTCTTATTTAAAATAATAACTTTAGTAATTTTTAATTTCATTATATTAGTGTTCAATAAATTGTACTTCAATTTAGATCTGTATAAAATATTCATGTTTAATTATCAGCTAGTAACCAGAAAATATTAACTTAAAAACAAACTAATAGGTCCTGCAAATAATAGTTAGGTTATTTTTTTGTGATTATGAGCAGTCGTTTATTTTTTCTTGTTTTTACTGTGAGTGAAATTGACAGAAAAATTTAATTGGATCACTTATTCTTTTATATAGCAGCATTAAGCCTGGTGGTCAGTAAGTTTGACTTGCAATCTATGGGTTATGCATTTGAATTATGTCACCCTTTCAGCTGTGGGTTTTTTTATAATTCCAATTCCATTTTTTGTTAGTAAAAGAGTAGCCAAGATTTGGAGGTGGGTGGTGTTGACTTGTTGCCTTCCTTCTACTCTATCACTACTAACTTAGTGATGGCTAGCACAGATAGCCCTCTAGCAGCTATGTGTAAAATTCAGTAAACAAAAAAGTAGCCTTATTAATTACATTGAATGGAGCTTTTGAAACACTGACAGAAGAAGGGTCCTGAAAATAGTATTTCCCCCCCCCTCTCCCCTTCAGTAGAAAGTAAAGTACTAGGAGGTTATGAAAAGTATGTTTTCAAATGCTAAGAATTTAATGTTTGTGAAAAAAAATAATTGCAGAAATCAAAAGTTCCTAAGAGTACAAGAAACACAAGGAAAGACTTCTGTTTGTATTATGTACCTTGGTTTAAAGAATTACCTAATTTTTTAAATGGTAAATATAGGTTGAAACTTAAAACAATGAATGAATGTCTTAGATAAGAACATTATACTATTAACAATAACTCAAGAAAAGTCTATTACTCTACTTGGGTTTTCAAAACTTTTACTCTCAATTGGCCTTATATAGTAAAGCTCAGATACCTACCTTTATTTACATTCCATTTGTTCATTTATATCTTATACACACAATAAGTTAGATTACCGTTTTGTTTGTAAGGCAACATGTTTCATTTGACTAATTTTTATGTAATATTAATTTTGAAAAAGTTAATATTCTTGTCCATCTGAAACTTTCTAGAACATTTTGAATAAGTCTGATAAAATTAGTAAAAGGGTCCTTTACTTACTTCTGACACTTAAAGTATGAAAAATTCAACTTCATTGTGTAATAACAGTACAAGACTACTTGTTTCAATCATTGTAAGACTATGTACTCTGATTTTTTTTAATACTCAAATGTATGAGAATTGTATGATTTTGAATATTTTATCATAATATCATTATCAATCCCTTGTTATACAGTATATTGCTTTATTATAAATCTGTTGTTCTGACATTGCACATTGAAAGTAACTGTACACCTCAGCATTGAACTTTTAATAAAAGTTATATCTGTTCACTTAGAGCAACATTTCTGTTGTGTTTAACTGTGTTTTTGTTTTAAATGAAACAATTCTAAACAACTGTTTTATATATAGCATGTTGAACAATTTATTAACTGTATTGAATAGTAAGAGGTATCAGATATACAGATGAACAGTGTGTGGAAGACACACTTTACAGTTAAAAACAAGGCATTAATTACATAACTCGCAAATTATAAAGAATATTAAGCTGTGTCCAGTCATGCACATTTTAACCCTCTATTATACATTATAACTTACAGGTAATGCATCTATCTTTGTTACTTTATACTCGTGCAACTACTTCAGTCCCTAACAAAAATAATTCCATGGAAGTAACAGCATTCAAATACATAAAAATTACAGATATTGAGAAGGAAGTGCCATAAGACCTATTACAATGTTGTATTAGCAGAGAAGATGAGACCTGTTGGAGTGCAATCCTCATATAACAAAGAACCATTTATGTAAAACTATAAAGATTGACATTTTTTCTTAAACAGTAGCACCCACACATTACATATAAATGAACTATATTAGATAGCAACAAATTTACCTAAAACTTTGAGTAAAATCACTAGTAGTCAATCCACCCTGAGATTTCAATCTGGCAGAGAAGACAGTCTACTCTACAGCCTAGTCTGACAAGGAACAGTCTCTCAACTCTTGTGTAAGTTGTTTAAACTCAAATGTTTTTAATAAACTAAAGTATAAACAAGTTTTATATTTAGAAGATTAAATGTAATTATGAGGAAGAAAAACATTTATAACATTGTAAACAGAATAAACTTAAATAAGTTCTCTATGTTTTGTTTGTACATAATGCCTCTGCCTCAATTCCTTATTCACTCATAAATTTCCTGGAGTTGGTGATCTGTGTGAAAATGCCACTGAATGGCATTTCAAAGTAACATTCAGTTGAGGAACATACCAGTAAGCATATTGTTGTATCAATTAAGTTAATAGCATTAAAGGTGTGGGAACTTGATGGTCTAAGAAAATTAAGAAAGAAAGGTAACAAAAGCCCCACCTATTGAGAAGAAACTGAAGTATTAGAACTAAATGATTTTGATAGGCAAAATTTAAAAGATAGGAATAAGGTGAATTGCCTTAGCTAAAAATCATAATTTAAAGACAAAAACTGAATTTAATTACTAAAATATGCAATATTCAGAGTATTGTGGAAGGTCATTGTGAGGTTTAGTTAAAGTTGGTTATGATGTAATATTTAGAAAGAAGAAGTTAGAGAGACAATTGAAAAGTGGAGTGGAAGTCACCTGACTTATCAGATAGATTACCTGGTACCATTAAGAATAGAAAGATAGAAATGATGTGACACCAAAAATAGATAATAAAAATACAACAAGACAAAATCAAAGATACAACCTTCCCATAACTTGGAGTAGAGTGGTGATGATGAAAGAGTGAGAAAACTAGACTAAAGATAATAATATAGATGTCATGAGTAAAAATAAAGTATAAGGGGGCATATCATAGTATAAATGAACTAATACTGTTATTCCTAAACATAGTGTTGTTAGTACCAATTAGTTAATTTCCAAGAGTTAACTAAATTTCTCTCAGATACCTCTTTTTAACTTGCTCACATGTTGGATGAATTCTTTAATAGTTAATCTTTATCTATCCAGGAGTAAATAATGAGTTACTTTTAATATAGCCTTAAGTTCTAATACTCCCAAATTGGAATCTAATTCTTTAAATAATCTTATCTCTCCATTTATCATTAGTTCCTTTATGGTTGGTTCTTTTATCATTTATTGTGGACTAATTTGACTAATTATGTTGTACTGTTTCCTACCGTAAATGCTCATTAGTGTGGAATTTTCTGAATCTTTACATTAAAAACTAAAATTTCAGATCCTTTCTTATGTATTTCTTTGTTTGTTTTTTCCATGCATTGATGCATTAGTAATATTTAACAATGCATGTAATAGTTTCTTAATCTCCTGATCATGTAGTTCTCACATTTGGTTTAATAAGTTCATTATTGTAGCTTGTTCACCTGACAAATATATGATTTACTTTGATTACTGTCTTTGATCATCTTCTTTTTTATTTAATTATTTTAAATCTTTTGTGGTTGCATATCAAATAAAAATTGTAAATACTTCTTCCAGCATTAGCCCTTTTTTTTGTCTATTTCTGTCTGAAATAGAAACACTATCTATAATATCATTGACTTTTATCAGAAGGTCACTTACTTCTTCATAATATTTTCAAGTTAACTACTTAAAGTTTTCATTAATCTATTTTGTGTCATTTTTAATACTTTTATTATGGAAACTCCACTAGTGTTAGGCCCAGCATGGCCAGGTGGTTAGGGCTCTTGACTCGCAATCTGCGGGCCGTGGGTTCAAATCCTCATCACACCAAACATGCTCGCCCTTTCAGCCATGGGGGCTTTATAATGCGGCAGTCAATCCCACTATTCGTTGGTATAAAAGTAGTCCAAGAGTTGGAGGTGGGTGGTGATGACTAGCTGCCTTCCCTCTAGTCTTTCACTGCAAAATTAGGG